GAGAGAGAGAGAGAGAGAGAGAGAGAGAGAGAGAGAGAGAGAACAGGCGGAGACGGAACGTTCGCAGGAGAGCACGGAGTAGGTGAAGGGAGGGAAGGGAGAACACGAGAGAAAGAAGAGGCATGCAGGAGAAGACAACCGGGTCTCCGAGACGAAGGACGAGAGAGCGAAGCGACAAAGTGATCAAAGTCGTGTGAAAGAAGAAAACGCCGGAGATGGAGGAGGAAGGACGGGGGAGAGACGTCAAGGAGAGAAAAGGAGAGAGAAACAATAATCACGAGAACGAGGAGGAGGAGGAGGAGGAGGAGGAGGAGGAGGAGGAGGACGGCAGTGGTGAAACAAGAACAAGCAGAAGACCCGAAAGCCGTCGCTAAGCTCCCACATACCCCAAATTCTATGTCATCTTAGCCGCTGATCCTTCTAATCTACGGTCCGGATCCTTACGACTAGTAAGACCTCGACGACAGACCGGGTATGTCATTTTCTGGGGCGCAACAGCAAACCGAGTCGGGATAGGAGGCTCGGAGGGACTTCCCAGTTTCGATGCGAGGGGCGACCGGTAGACGGTGGGAGCGACCAGAAGGGTCGGGAAAAGAGGCTCGGATGGACTTCCCAGGTTCGAAGTGAGGGACTACCGGTAGCCGGTTGCGAGCGACCAGAAGCTCGTCGATCGATTGTTGGTTTGACTGCACCGAGAGGGGGTCAGACTCCCCTGTGAGCGACCGCTGAGGGGGCACGCTCACTTCAGGTAGGGGTACGGAGTCCCGGTGTGAGAATCACCATTTGCGAACTCAGTCTGACGAAAATCACCGTTTGTCCTTCGGGACATCCGTGAAAATTGGAACGATACAGAGAAGGGTAATTAGCATGGCCCCTGTGCAAGGATGACACGCACAAAATCGCCGTTTGGGTCCTTCGGGACATCCATTAAAATTGGAACGATTGGCATGGGGCCCTGTGCAACGATGACACAGATATGAAAAATAAAAAATAAATAAAATTTACTGTTAGACCACGCCCTGCGTGGTGGCGCAGCCTGGGGCGTGGGGCCAGATGTTGTGGATGCGGGAGCAATTGCGTGCGTGCGGCAACAGTGCCGTCACACAACATTGGCTGGCTGAAGTGGTTGACCCTTTTTCTTTCCAGGCTGGGAGGCTAAGTTGTAAGAGTAACCTATACAGCATTCTTCGGACGGCCGCGGAGGTTGGGTGCTACTGGACCACAAAGGCAGGCGGTGCCAGCAAAAAGAAAACAAACCCACCGCGTGGTCGCTTTGGCCTCCCATCTATCGATAATAGGCTAGAACCTCCAAGTCGAAACTGCAGAAAGCACATATAAAACGAGCAATATAACTTGGGGGCGGCAGGAACGGGTTCACCTATGGCTACGGGATTTGTAGAAGAGCGTCTTGCCTGAGTATGCCTGGCGCTCGAAGTTCATGTCTGACGAGCCCGCCCCCCCTCGGAATCGAACTCTTTATCTGTCTGTTTCTATATGCGCACTCTGTTCTTCTTCGCGACATGATAGGGTGAGGACTTGGAACTCTGTATCTGTTCGTTGCTGTATGCGCTTCATCTGTCCTTCGATGAACAAGAGAGAAAAATTGAAAAAAGAAAAAAAAAAAGAAAAAAAAAAAGAAAAAAAAAAGGGAAAAACAGCAAGAAGAAAGAGAAAAAGCAACCACCGGACTTAGCTCAGTTGGTACATCCATAAACTGGTGACCTGTGTTCGACTCCAGATGGTACACGATGAACGAAATTCCTGAATAGCCTAGCGTCGGGCGTTGGTCAGTTTCACGATCATATCTCAAGCCTTTTGCTCTTTTTGTTTTTCTCTTTTTTTTAAAAGCAGCAGCAGCAGCAGCAGCAGCAGCAGCAGAAGAAGAAGAAGAATAGTGAAAAACAGTGGCCATAGACTGCTTCTCGCACACGCATGGACAAGATATTTCAGTACTTCTCCGCCCGCATGTACAGGTCTCAGTTGAAAACGCCCGTGCAAATTCCCCGACGCGTTTCGGCCAGGCTGCGCTCCTGGCACTCACTCCTCAGGGGGCTTCTCCCAAGATCCGCCTTTCGGGACCACCACCCAACATTCCGACCAGTCTGAGAAGAAGAAGAAGAAGAGTTGCATTTTTCGTCCATGATCCGATGTCAAGAATATAGAACACGCGACCTCCGCATGGAGACCCCCTCATGGGAGTTGACCGCTCAACCAAACTGCTAAGCTGCCCAAAGATTGGTACTTAACCCCACCCCAGCACAGTTTCCCGCCTCCCGGCGTACCCAGTCACACTCACACCTGAACACCTGACCCTACCACCCAGGCCTGTCGATGCAGCCACAACTCAATGTGTCTCTACCCACTCAATGTGTCTCCTCACTGCCGGTTATTGCGCTAGCAAGAATTGCATTTTTCGTCTCCTCACTGCCGGTTACTGCGCTAGCAAGAATTGCTTTTTTTTTTTTTTGCATTTTTCGTCCATGATCCGATGTCAAGAATCGAACACGCGACCTCGGGGTGATCGGAGTTGCACGCTCAACCAAACGGCTAAGCTGCTGACTGCGGTGAGAGTCAGAACAGAGAAGAACGGCGGCAAACAGTTCGCAGAACTGGAACTGCTTTCAGTACATGCTTGTGAAGGGCTTTGCATTTTTTTGGGACGCGGCGCATGTACAGTACTCAGCAACGCGCACATCATCTATGCAGAGATGATTAGTATGGCCCCTCGTCGATCGAGAAATTAATGCGTGAAGAGCATCGTCACACTACGCTAGGGCTTTACGAGATGTATCTGACCGGAATTACAGCCACGTGTGGATGTGGGTGGACGCAATTGCGTCCAGAAATCTGTAGAGAAACGCCCCATGCGAGTATGCCCTCGACAAAAAGTCTTATCTGCGAGCAGCATCCCGTCCATCATCTGCCTGTATGTCAGCTCTCTTCCATCCAGCTGCCTGTGAGCACTCGCCCTCAGTTTTTTCTCTGTTTTAGTCTTCCTTTCGATTACTTGTCGACGTGGCCACAGCGCCGCCGCGAGATGTTCAGATCGGTGGCAGGAAACCAACTCTTAAGCCCCTGCCAGTGGTACTTATCGCCAGGTCCTTTACATATGGGCCTCTCGCTGACGGCTGTCGTGATTTCGTTGAGTCTATCAAATGATAGACGGTGAGTGTATCTTCAGGTATAAGGTGGAAAGGTACACTCACCATTTTCTTTTTGGTCTTTTCCATTTGTGAACTAGCGCTACTTGTAAGTTAGCAATCGAATCTCGTGCATAGTTTTTTTTTTTTTTTTTTTTTTTTTTTTTTTTTTTTTTTTTTTTTTTTTTTTTTTCTGTTTTTAATCTCATGCATGCTCTCCAATGCTCTCCAAATGCGCTGAATCTGTCAAAAGAGAAACGGTGAGTGTATCTTCAGGTATAAGGTGGAAAGGTACACTCACGTTCTGTTTTCTCGTCCACATTAAATTTTGTGGACTGGCCTTACTTTGTAAGTTAGCAATAGAATCTCATGCATAGTTTTTTTTTCGCTTTTCAAATCTCATGCATAGGTGGTGCTACTTGTCTGTTCGATCTGTCTGATTTTCTGTTATTCCTTTTTTTTTTTTTTTTGACTATGCTGTGGGGTCTATTTTAGGCTCTCCCGGATTGTCTGCCCCTCCATCACCTCCTCCTCTGTCTGCCAAGCGGCCTCACTCCACTGCACTACATTCTAAATGTATCTGCAGCCAGTAATGATCCCGATACGTTCGAGATGTTGGAACAGTTCATATTTATCTTGTCCATTTTGCTGTCTAGATACATGCAGTGTGGTCTAGTGGAGCTATGGCCAACATATCCAGAATGGAGACAGATGGCCACGGAGAAAAAGCAGCAGGTAATATAAGGGAATGGAACAACCAAGCTGAGGAGCACCTGAGCGCCGTGTGTGTGCTCAGGTGCACCATGCCCCAGTGGCCCTGCAGGCCTTGAGCTCAGGGACGTCACTCTACTCAGCGATGAGGAGTCCCTCGAGCACACTGAACCTGCCTACTTACGCAGCTGACGTAAAGTCCACCTCGGACATCCATAAATCGCAAGGTGTAAAATCCAGGTGGATTAACGGTACAGAGGTGTAAAATCCACCTCCAGTGTTAAATTTTAACGGTACAGAGGTGTACAATCCAGCTCTGGTCTGAAACGTCCAATGAATCGTCGTCCATTGGGCCGCTACGGAGGGTTCATATGGGTAGGCCTGCCTGCTCGACCCCTGCAGCTTTGCCTCTGTGTTGCACTGCAGCAATGAATCGTCGTTGGTTTCTCAGCTCCGCCGTCGGGCCTCGCTCCACTACTTCCGAAATGTGCACAACTAGAGCGAATCTTCCCTTAGAACAGGGAAAGATACACCGCCGTGAGTTTTGTCTTTTGTGCATGTCGGCCGAACCGTCCTAGACACTGGGCCTCGCTCCTCGACATTGCATAAAAGACAAAAATCTTGGCGGTGTATCTTTCCATGTTCTTGCAGACGATTCACTCTCGTTCTGCACACGTCTGCCACGCATTTTGAACGGGAATGAAAAAAAAAAAGAAAAAAAAAACAAACGTCCAATGAATCGTCATTGCTTTCTCAGCTCCTTCGTAGGGCCTCGCTCCACTAACGAATCTTCCCTTAGAACATGGAAAGATGCACCGCCGTGAGTTTTGTCTTTTGTGCATGGGGAGAGCAGTGGAGGGAGGCACAAAAGACAAAAAATCAGCCTCTCCACATGCTCAGAACAAAAAAGCTGGCAATGTATCTTTCCATGTTCTATCCACTCCCTCGTGCTACAAAAATCTTGGAGGGGTATCTTTCCATGTTCTTGCGGAAGATTCACTCTCGTTCTGCACACCCCCTCTTTTACCCAAACGGGGAAAGCGGACGCCGACCAAAGCTGGTTGCCTCAACGACCTCCCCAACCCAGCACCACTCTTTTACCCAAACGGAAAAGCGGACGCAGACCAAGCTGGTTGCCTCAACGACCTCCCCAACCCAGCACCGGTCGTTGAGCCTCTGAGCTCTGGGATGACCGATAGGCCTACCGGTCGTTTTAACGTTGCCGACCGCGCCCTTCCAGCACCCCTGTTCACGCCCTATAGACCCCTGTTGACGGTCGTCGACTTTCCCGAAAGGGAAAGTTTTTGCTAAACGACAAAAGGCGACGGGGTAAAGCGCAGCCGGAAGTTACATTCACGACGTCCTGGGTTCAATCCCCATTGGCCTCATGTACCTTCCTGGGGAAGCTTTGGTGCCTGCCACCTAGAGATAGGTTGTTGGTCCCTCCCAGCGGCATTGAGCCGAGACTGCTGGGAGAGGACTGGAGGGGAGGCACAGCGACTGGCCTATAGAAGAAGCTCTGCTACCGGCTGACCCCTGGCCGGTATAGCCCGCCCACCTGCAGGTGGGGTGCAGCCCGGGCATG